TCCATCCATCCATCCATCCATCCATCCATCCATGTATAAATGTTTATTTTATCATAAACAGTATGAATCCAGTGTGGACTAAAAGACTAATAGAAATAGTAACAAAAACAACCCATTTCACTGAAGCCCAAACTCACTAACTACCAACTAAACCAATGTCTGCAGTAAAAAAAACAAGCTTGTGATGCTGTGAGTCTCAGTGGAGTTTAAAGTTTAAAAGGAGCTACAGACGAGGTGAACGATAGAATCCAACCTGCAGCATCATGATCAACTCCACTCAGGTTTTATATTTCACTCTGAGTGCTTACATATCCTCTGGACCTGTCAGATATCTGTACTTTATGATCATTATCTGTCTGTATGTTCTGATCATTGGTTGTAATGTTGTTCTGATTGTGGTTATCTGCATGAACAGGAGTTTACATGAACCTATGTACATGTTTCTGTGCAGCCTGTTTGTAAATGAACTGTATGGTAGTACAGGCTTGTTTCCATTCCTGCTGATCCAGATTCTGTCRGACGTTCACACTGTTTCTGCTCCRCTCTGTTTCCTGCAGGTYTTCTGCGTTTACACTTATGGAATCGTAGAAATTTTAAACTTAGCCGTCATGTCTTATGACAGATATGTTGCCATCTGTTTCCCTCTGCAGTACAGCTCTCTGATGACCTCTAAAAAGGTCACTGTGCTCATCGCTCTCACGTGGTTGTGTCCTTTTGTTGCGATTGTGGTCCTGCTGTGTCTGAGCGCCTCGCTGCAGCGCTGTGGGAGCACCATCGACAGGGTTTACTGCGGGAACTACGCCATCGTTAAGCTCAGCTGCTCCAACACCAGCCTCAACAACATCTTAGGTCTCATCTACACGGCGGTGTCCGTCGTCATCCCTCTCTCTTTAATCCTCTACACTTATGCAAAGATCCTGGAGGTGTGTTTCTCTGGGTCCAAGCTGACCCRACAGAAGGCTCTCAGCACCTGCACGCCTCACCTGGCCTCCATTCTCAACTTTTCTTTTGGCAGCTGTTTTCAGATTTTACAGAGCAGGTTTGAGATGAGCAGGGTTCCCGCCGTGTTGGCCGCTTTTTTATCTCTGTACTTCCTGACATGCCAGCCCATCTTCAACCCGGTTCTGTACGGACTGAAGATGAGCTCGATCCGCAACGCATCCAAACGCCTGTTGTGTGGAGGAAACACAAGTCAGGCTACAGATTTGTGAAATTCAGCTTTTTATACCTGAGAGCAGCAGAAAGATATCACCAGTGTCACAAAGACGTCAGCTGAGATTAGGTTTATCACATCTTTAATGTTTCCCTGGAACAACATTTTTTTAATTTAAAATTATTTTATTAACATGAATAATTTAATGTTTTTGTTTTGTCACTTCTTTATATCAAACATTTATAA